TATTTTATGTGTCGGGGAAGGCGTAGGCCAAGTGAAGCACAGAAGAAAAGTCTTACACTCTTATAACAATGGGGATTTGATATGATGCTGATGCTGCTAGATGATTTTGAGACTGAGAAAGAAAATGGCACAACACAAAATGAAAAATTGCTCTTCACATCTTAAGTAAAAAAAAACATTAATTGTAATTTTGTATTATTATTAAAAAAAGGTACATAATTATTCATTAATCAACAATTGTGTATAATTATTCACACTAGGTAAATCAGCCTTATAATATTAAAATCTTGGTCATGGAATAAATAAACATAATTGTTCACCAATCAATCAAAAAATTCAATTCATCAATCAAAAATCAAAATTCATCATCATCGACGCTTTCCAAAATCCGAATGAGTTCTGAGGAATTGTTCGTGTTGCTTGCTCTACTTTTTCTCGGTAATCACTTCATGAGGGTGTCGTCTATCCTTGATCACGGTGCCCAGTGAACTGATTTTCGATGACGCGCTAAAGATGCGCTAGAGTTGAGATATTAGATTTATTATGTGAAGATGATCTGATAACATTTTTTTATTCATGTAGCTAATTATAGTTTTATGTTTCTAATTTTTAATTTTATTCAAATATCAATAATAATAGAAAAAAACACCATTGAGCTGAATTTTGGATAGTTTTCAAGAAATCTATGCCTCCCGCGTTTGACACTAGCGGTCAACCATAGACGACTTTGGCGTGCTGGACATAGTATTTGCTTAGATAAAAATCCATTTTTATTAGTTCAATGTTTCTTAGTACTTGTGGCTCTAGAAGACTTGTTTTTATACTCACATGTTGCTGGGTTATTCCTATTTTGAGGAGTGTAGAATTAAAATACCTGTAATAATTTTCCAATATCTATATTTCATATTTTTGAGAGCCGGGTTTTTTGTCAACTATAGACGTCGTTGGCGCTCAGGGCCCGCAGGTGTTGGTCAAGTATAGGCGACTTTGGCGCTCAAAAAGTTAAAGGATTCATGGTAAATCAGCTGGAAACTAACTTGTTTCGTTATCATAACATGATTCCATTTTAAATGTATTGTTATAAACAGATAAGAAGATCGGTTAAGATTAACAGTTAAATTGTGCCGTAGCGTTTTGTTACTCTCTAAAGAATTCATTGGAAATCAGCTAGTAATTCGCTTGTTTAATTATCATAACATAATAATTATTTAAAAATTATATTAGCACTGTAATGATGACACCGTAAATAATCGATCGAAAAAGAGAATCGATTTTTTAAATGTGTTTTGTGATTGGCAACACTTTTTTTTATTCACAAACTAATGACATAATGATTTTTCGGTACTTTTAATTTGTGCAAAAATATTCCCATTGTTTGAGGATAAATGAATACCGCGATTAATAACCATAAATAAAGATATAATTTTTTAACAAATGCACATTGTTGGGTGTTCCATGACCGAAAATGGGCAATGCCCTTTAGGTAGTTGACACCATCATTAAAACATGATTATGTTATATAATTTGAAATAATTTCAAATTGTAGTGGTTTCGTAAACCAGAATCCAAATTTGAATTTATTTAATAATCAACGACAAGAAAACAGAAACGAGACCTATGAAGGTTTTTTACTATATAGAGATATAATGTCTTGCGAAACTTTCCAAAAAAGTTTTATGATTACTACAGAATGAACATAAAGACCTTTGACAATTTAAAAGGACACAGGTTGATAACGAAATCTACTACAAGGACACGAGTTGGAGAAAAGCGATATCAGTCGAAGAAAGGCTTTCAGTTACGATGAGGTAAGTACCTACATTTACCGTACTTACATACTTTCCCTTGTTGCATACTGAATCTACTAATCACGCTGTTAACTAAAACGCTGGTAGTGCATTCATGGATGAAACAAATCCCTTATTTCTTTTTATTATTAATAAATAAGGAATTTGTAACAATCATAGGAATATCACCACTTCTCACTTACGGCAAAATAAAAATAATTTACTTAGCAAATGGGAATTAGTTACGCTTGAAGATTAAAATATCTTTCATTTGAATGCCATTCCTTTGTCAAAAGACAGGAGGAGCGGAATATATTATGTCGGCGTCAGCATGTTCAGGTACTCGTATATTGGTTGGATTCCATTGTGTATTATTTTTCCATTTCCGTATATTTGCAATCATATAGTAGCGTTGCATAGTTATTGGGATCATTACAAAAGTACCCTTGATTCGATTCAATAGACACCATGCTTGTACCTATTGCTTGATTCCCTGAAGTTAAAGCTTGAGCTTGTTGTGGAGGCTGAGATGAGGCATAATTGGGGCTAGGAGTTGGACACTTAACATAAGTCGGAGCCGGTGACTCCAATGTTGATGCCGGGGAAGGCGTATAATTAGACATGACAGATGCCATTCTTCAGCATGAGTCTTGAGTGTATGGGATCCTGTCGTAATGACTAGGTTCTGATAGGAAGCTGAACGATACTGGGTTTGCGGTCTTTGGAACTCCGGTGGACAGTAACGTTTGGCAATGTTCCATATACTTAAAATTTCGACTTTTGCGAAGTGCTTTTGGTCGTCATTTAATTCGTTTAGTAGAGGTACTAACACTTCCGTGAAACTAATGTCTTCATCATAGGTTTTTTTTGTCGTATGATGTCTAAAAGTTCTTCACTTCTGTCTGTTTTGCGGGATTGCTTACTATTTTCGCATTCAACACTATTATGACTGTCTTCTTCAGATTTCACTGATATGTTTGAGGTGGTTTCTCTTTCTAATGGTAAAAAAATTAAAAAGTAAAGGTCTTGAAAGTGATCGTACGGCCTTCTTTTTATACCCTTGTCAAGATTTGCACTTCTTCTGAAAAAATCTTTCAAGTTTCGCCATTTTTTTTTTGGATTTGTGTTTCTATAATAAAAAAGGGACAAAATGATACTACTTGTAGGTATTTTAGAGTAGTGGTAGTCATTTTTTATGCTTATCCGTGGTCAAAAATATAATTCGAAGTTCATGTAAATACAGTCAACCTGTTACGGCCCTGAGTTACCCTGACAAAAGACTATTGAACTAGGGCCCATCAGTAGTCCAACTAGACGAGTAACAAAGGGGAGGGTCCAACGACCTATGGATAATTAAATTATACGGCTAGGTACACACAAAACTTACCGATTGGCGGAGGTGGGGTTGACCACGAGGTACCTGTCAGGTGGGAAGTGATGTACATGTAAGTAGTGTTTAGTAATGTGTACAATGTGTAACCTGACAGCCCCGCTGATCTTGTACTGCAGATCCCAAGGCACTGCCTCTCTCCAAATGTGGGATCCGCCCAGGGGGGCGTTCACCAATTGAAAACGTCTGCTATTTTCACTATATTAGTTTATCACTTTATTGTACATTTAATTAACTTCAAATTAGGCCTCTTGTCACGTAACACGTTCAGAACAGACAACTAAATTCGAGGCGGTCTAGACTATACCCAAATATTCAATAGTAAATTCAAAATGGCGCGCACAATTAACACAAGATTTAGGCTTTCAAGTCAACACCGGCTGCGCCCAACCGTCTAAAGGTCGCAAACAATACTCAAACTGTTACAACAATAATTATATAATATGGCCTCGTTATCACGAAAAACAAATTAAGATAACACTGTAAGAGGCTCGCGACGTTCGACGCAAACAAAATCAAAAATAAGCCTCGTTGTCACGTATATTAACGACAAAATACAACAACCAGGGAGGCCGTCTTTTCGACGCGGTAATTGTATCAAAAACAAACGCGACCTCTGAACGATACGGCTCGCTTACCAAGAAGGGTCGAGACAGGTCGGCGCGGCCGGCGGCCGCACAGCTCAGTCCCCCCCCCCCCCCGGCCCAGCCGTCAAACCGGTTTCCCGCTCGAGATGCGAGCCCTGCAATTTGTAGCTACAATCGAGCGTAAACACTACCTATTCTAAATCTCTGTATATTATTTGCTACAGATATTTAGCATCGGGAACAGCATCAACTCACTTTATTATGAATATCTCATTGGTGCAACTACAATCCGGGTGATAGTGGAAGATATATGTGACAAAATGTGGGAGTGTTTACAACCAATATACATGCAAGAACCTGATGCAGATACTTGGAATTCTATTGCAAAATTTTTTTATAAGCGCACTAATTTTCCCAACTACTTCGGTAGCATTGACGGCCAGCACATTAGGTGTGAAAAACCTGATAACGCCGGTTCTCAATATTTTGATCACAAACAGTATTTAAAATTCTTTTATATCAGTGGATGTTGGAGCTTATGGTGGAAATAGTGACTCAATGATCTTCAAGAATTGTAATTTCGGGAAAAAACTAGAAAGGAATCAGTTAACCTTTCAGAGGCAAAAACACTACTTAATGATGAAGATGGAAAAGTGATGCCACTAGGTTTTATTGGAGATGAGGCGTTCGCGCAGTCGGAACATGTTATGAGACTATATTCGAGACGGAATCTCACAACAACTCAAAGAGTTTTCAACTATAGGCTTACACGAGCGCGAAGAGTGGTAGAATGCACTTTTGCGATACTCACCAATAAATGGAGAATTTTGCACCGTCCTCTAGATGTTAAAACTTGTGATAAAATCGTAAAATCTTGTTGTATATCACACAATTGCTTGGGAGGAGCGCTCACCTTGCCAGTGAGCGGGCGGTCCAGCGCGCACATGGTGGAGTCGATCTCCGCGTAGATGTGGAAGCGCGGCATTATATCTGTGCAAGCTAGTGGGGCGGAGCGCTCACCTTGCCAGTGAGCGGGCGGTCCAGCGCGCACACGGTGGAGTCGATCTCCGCGTAGATGTGGAAGCGCGGCATTATATCTGTGCAAGCTAGTGGGGGAGGAGCGCTCACCTTGCCAGTGAGCGGGCGGTCCAGCGCGCACATGGTGGAGTCGATCTCCGCGTAGATGTGGAAGCGCGGCATTATATCTGTGCAAGCTAGTGGGGGAGGAGCGCTCACCTTGCCAGTGAGCGGGCGATCCAGCGCGCACACGGTGGAGTCGATCTCCGCGTAGATGTGGAAACGCGGCATAGGCCCGCCTCCTGCCCCGCCTCCGCCACCGCGCCGCACCGAGTTCGGCGAGATCTCGCACCGCACCGGCTTGCACGGGACCGCCTCTTGCTGGAACACACAGAAACAATACAATACAATAATTTCCATTCAATATAGATTACATGAATACTTAATCACCATCATTACAATCCTTCACAAGTTCACTGCTGAACATAGGCAAAAACTACAGGCCAAGGAATCCCACAAAGCATGGCCCTGAGCCACCTGCATCCATCAAATTCCTGCATAAGAATACTTATTAAGAGTTATTAATGTTTTTACTACTGGATCCGTAGAAAACCTCTGTTCTGGAAAGAACCAGCGAGAAACAGGACTCTAATTTCAAACATTAATTTATAATAATATAATATGTTGAATACTCTTTGGAATTGAGTAACTGTCAACAATCTCTTGTACTTCCTCTCAATGATAGAATATGTGGTCAAAATTCCTAGATCTAGGTTATAATCCTAGTAAAACACTAATTTAAAAAAATAGTAAGAGAGTAAAACTATCAAGTTTTAAGATTGTACTTCAGATAAACCCAGCACACAGGTATTCTTTTCTAATACAAAATTAAGTTACATTTCCGATTTGTCACTATACTGTGACAAATGCATGTGAGGCATCATAAGAAAACTCCTAAACCCATTTTGTTTATATTAATTTTTTTCAAAAATGTTAAACTCCAATCCTGCAGGCTAATGGTGTAAGAAGCAACACCAATTGGATATTATCGGATCTGATCTCCAAAGAAGAAAAATAAATGAATTTCTTAACAGTTTTACTTATTTATGACATATTTGGTACAATCTTAAAAATGGGGTATAGCAGTGGAAAAAGAAAGGATGATGATGAAATTTAAATTATTTGTAGGTAGTAAAATCCTTTTCTTGAATCTGCCTGGGTTGATACCACCCTCTTACTTATTTCTGCAGGAAAGCAACAGTGCATGCACTGCTGTGGTCCGCTCCGAGAGGTAAACAGCGTAACCTTTATGGCTATGACTCATTCCATCTCAGTGTTCAGATGACCATGTATCTGTAGACTTGTTCGTTTGGAGTTGGCTGCAGGTGTCCGCGGGCTGCACCAGCCACTTGTCATCAGGTGAGCTTTAAGTTCATTTGTCACATTAGTTTTCAAATAATCCCATACAAAAAACTACAGTAAAATATGTTTATATAACAAAAAGAATGAATTACCGGTTTGTACTGCACAAAAAATTGGCAGCTGGTATTTAATGGTTTATTCAGGAATGATCTCTTCATGTGGCACTTAAGTGTGTACATAATATTAACAAACACTCCATGGTAGGTCTCGAGCAGGCCACAGCCCGCTGGTGCTCCTGGTAGTGGATGACGGGCTCTTAAAGGTATTTCAAATGGAATTTCTGTTACTCCTAACGGAATCTTGCCAGCTGGTGCTAGTTCTATTACTGTGTTGATTAAATTCATTGGCTGCGAATGTAACAAGCGGTAAAATTAAAAATTTTGTACAACCAACTTCAATATAAATAAAATGAGAACATCATCAATGTAGTCGAAGTCAATTAAATACGAATTATTAAGGATAACTCAAAAACTACTAGATCTTGATAAAATTCATATGGGACCACACGAGAAGCATCAGCTTTCAAAGAAAAAATAAAAAAATAAAGTTGTTCTGTTTTGCATATTTTGCTACAAATTAAAAATATATTAAAAGTGAAATGAAATGAAATCCCTTTTTCAATGTAAGAAAATTAAAAGTTTGTCTGAAAAACATCGTTTCTTAAAATGTTGTCAACTGTTCTTAATTGTGGCGTTACTGTATTAAAGTGAAGTAAAACATCATGCTGCATGCGTGTACTTGAAGAGAAGACAATTGAAGGCACTCAACATGCATTGGGGCAGTATAGCAGACACTTTCCCTGCTCCAAAAACCTTGCATTAGTAAGAAAGAGTCAGCGCCAAGCTGTGGGAAATAGATAGGTCGAATATTTTCGTTAAAGTAGCAGAGTCAACACATTCATTTCATCATGCATTACACATAAAACTCACTCGACTTTGCTTCCCATGTGCCATTTAAGTACACAATATTTTTGGAATTTCCCTGACTTGACTCTTAACATCCACAGGATGTGATGGGGTTTGATTACTTACTATAATGATACTGATATTTAGCCAACTTAAATGAAAGGAGGAGGTTCTAAATTCAATTGCATGTTTTTTGTATTTTTGTTACCAGCTATCTACATGACAGAAAATCAATGGCGCCATCTACAATCACACGGCGACAACTCTAATTCTCGCCCGAAAACACAACCAAATGCACGAAACCACATGCAATGCCAAGTCATGTTTAGATATTCATGGAAGCGAGCGGGTACTAGGCATTCTATTGTCAGTGCTCGCATTGAGCGGACATATCTGTTTAACCAAAATTTATTAGTTACTCTGATTGCTAAGATAAATCTAAACTAAACTACCATTGTGATTATTTTGCTCACTAGTCCCTGAAAAAACCCCATTCCAACATACATTAATTTCGAACTGAGTTTAATAATTCTTTTATCATAAAATGTGTTATACACAGATTTATATTGGGCCACCAAATAAATTTGGAGAGAAACTTCCAACCCTGAATGGATGGCAAAATATCCTTGAAGTTTTTAATGTAAGTATTTAGACAACATTGTGATGGAGACAATCCTTAGTCTCAAAAAGGTAAAAAAATAACTTTTAATAAACCGTAAAAGTGCATGTCCAGGAAATTAAAAGAATAAAATTATTTCACATTTCAAAGGAAAAATTATTTCAGGTAAGAATTGCCTCGTTGGTCTTGTGGACACATAAATGCACTTACTGATCATGTGTTTTAGACACTCACGCCAAGAGTCAAGAAGAAAACAGTGTTTCACCCCCATGCCTTGAAAGCATTTAATCCATGGACCTGCACCTCATCTCTGTCTGATCATATCAGACTGCTGTCCCATACATACTGAGGGAATATTGTAAATGTACAATATTAGCAGAATATCCTTAATTAGTAAGAAACATTTTTAATTAGTAAGAAGCAGAATAGGTAATTTTTAAATCTTACTATAATGTTTTTGCATTATCACGGTGGCCTTAATTTTATATTAAAGATGTCAGTTAATAAATACTTAAGAAAACATAGCATTAATACAACAATTTATTTACCTTTATGCTATTGGAAAATGCCTCAAATATACCAACATTTTTGGTACTCAATTGCAAGTTCACTGCACCTTCCATAGCTAACGTGAGCCCTTCATGTCGCACATCGTTGCTGTTCTCTACCACAACAATGCCTGCTATTACGTCCTAAAATAAGTACATACCAAATGATTTTCAGCAGCTTTACCAGCACATTACATACATAAGCTAGGTCTATTATGTTCTCTGTACGGACTCTCCAAATCAAGACTCATTTAAAAATATCAGTATGTACTGGCAGAATAAATAACTCTAGAGCAGCAGTTCCCAGTAAATTTTTAATTTGTCACTGCAAGAAAGACGTCAAACTTGTGTTCCTTATAATCCACATGGTAAATCTTTATATACTAGCTTTAAAGTACAAAATTTGAGGATTGTGACAAGTTGCAAGAATTGTTGGTGATTATATATTCTAAAAGATTCTTAAAGGGAAAGAAATGGATGATGTTGGGTTCATGTTCTAGTAGTTTCATTTATGCTAGGTGGTATGATAAGTTGCACTCCAAATACACACTCTATTTTAATGATGTTATTGGTTATTGTCAGTGGGACAAATGTGCACATTATAGTGGAAATTGTAATTTTTGTGTAGCTTTTTACATTTAGAGAATTTTTTCTCTCTTTTTTTTTTTAAACATTACCCCTACACTAGGATTTTCTCCTGTATCATGGGAGCTTACAAACATAAATTGCACAAGGACAAACATCCAGACTGTATTTGTAGGTCATACAAATACTTGTTCCATGCGGGATTCGAACCCGCAACCCCTAGCGCAGCCACTCATTGCTAAGCCACTGCGCCACAGAATTGTTAAATGAATAAATGCCTGCCCTTTGCCTTTTTTATAGGATAAGGGTGACAAACAAGCAGAAAACAGTTCACCTGATGGTAAGTGGCTATGGCTCATAGATATCTACATCCATTCTCAATTAGGAATCAAGATATAGATGCATTCTCTCCTTTGAGGACTAAGATGGAATGCCTCATTTCCAGTAAAAAGGGTCTTCGGTTTACTACACTCACCAACCAAAACACAGCAGCTTTATGTTGCTATTTTATGCCAGTATTCCGCTCTTACCTTAGTCAAGAGCATACCTCTTCAGGCAACCTCACATACCTCTGGGGCTTAGCATAGCACTAATAGGGAAACACTGCCCTACAGCTACAACTTAAATTTTGTTCAAGTTCTATTAAATAAATTGTTCCACTTGATATTATTCTTCTACAAAAGCTTGTAAAATTTTACTAATATAAGTTCCTTCTGTAAAAAGGAAGATGTCACACAAGTCCATCTTGATAGCCTTGAGATACCCTACATCTGGCGTAGAAATGGTGGGTCATACCATCATCCTTATATTTATAGTCTTTCTGGCATTCCCGTAGTTAACACACAAAACGAAATTAGGTAAAGGATACTATTAGGCCGCCATCGCGCCGCAAATAAATTTCACTCAATCATTTACCTAGTGTACAAGCATTATTGTATTACTTAAAAGTTTGTTTTATTAACACATTGAAATTTATAAATTAAAGCGTTATTTCAACTCGAAATTAATGAGAGTAATAGAATGTATTTTAAATTTGTTTCTTTAATAAAACTAAATTTACGGATTCTATCGCGTTTATTTAACTGATTTTACTTATTTTTAATTCCCGACGTTTCGGGTGCTTTACAGCAACCATCAAACGCGATAGAATCCGTAAATTTAGTTTTATTCAATGTGTAGTATTCGCGTAAATTTAAGAAATCATTATTGTTTCTTTAATGTAAATTATTTATTTGGTGCAAGTTTGATGGGTACTCACTCCTTCATGATAAATTTTACTAGCCCTTTTAAGCACAATATTTAGATTAGTTGTCATGTTTTTCGAATCGTAAGTGTTTTTATGTTTTGATTTGTAGCAATTATTAGTGTAGTGAATACATTTCCAATGTTCTCTGAACTTCTTAGTATATTTTTATCAGTATATTTTACAGAACGCTATTCAGACTACTAAGAGGATACTACCATATACAAAGGTACTCTGTGGATACTACCATCTTCTCTCGTTAGAGAGTAGTATGTTCCTTGGATACTACGCTACGCATACGCTATTATTCCCTATTAACCACAGAACACTATTACTCCCATCGGAGTATCGGAGCTATTAACTTTACACTTTGCTCTTAAAAGTTTAAAAGTCATAAACAGAGAATGCTATAGACAAAGTGATATATTTTATGCCGGCTGTACACGCTCGTCGAGACACCACGAGACAGGCCTAGAGGCGAGCGTTATTTAACATTGTTCTTAAAAACTTCGCGTTTTTCTTTATAAATATTATAACATGTATAGTTTTCTTTGTGAATAAACATTTAAAGTGTATATAAATATTTAGTGTACATAAACAGACATATAATTGGTGTAAATAAATAATAAATATTTTTTGTATTAAGTTAATTTTTGTGTATTATGTGGATCATAATAATTATGTGATGTGATGGACAATAATACTTAAATACTTACATATTTTGTAACTGTATAAAATTGTACAAAGGTACTAATATTGACAATGTCGCGCACATGTTATAATACCTATAACCTGTTACGTATTCGTAATCATAACATAACACAGTTAAACTAATATTATAATACCTACCTATAATATGTTAATATTTTCGTAATTATAACATAACACAAACGCAAAACTAACCTACGCTGTACTGTATACATATGTAACTAATTACAAAAATGAGCAGTTTTGAAACTAGTTACTCATATCCACGAAACTACGTACAACCGATTACGTCCAAGACTTTACGACCCATGTCTAGACAGGGCGAGTACGAGTGTGTACAGGGTGCTCTCGTCGCGTCTCGTCGCGTCTCGTGTCCCTCGTGCGCTCTCGGAAGCGTGTCGATTTTTTTGCGCTCGAGTCAAAGGGTCTCGTAGGTATCGCGATGAAAACCGAGAGCGAATGATGATATTACTTAACGTGTATAACATGTATAATCAAGCAGAAAAATGCAAACTGTATTATGACATTTTAATATGTAAAAAGTCAAAGGTCGACATTATAACTACACATCAAAGTCTCTACGAAAACGTACTTATATATAATCGTTAGGTTTTAATTGCTGCTAAAGAATATTCTGTATTTTGTGTACACTTAGTTAAAGATGTAAAATATTTTGTATTTGTAATTTCTGTTTTGTCTCAAGACGACATACGTGATTTTACTGTTAATAACTTTTTTTTTTTGATGATAATGTATAAAGAAGTTTAATACACTGTAAGAAAGTTTATTAAATACAGTGTTTAATGATATTATTGATTTTTTTTAATTTCATTTAAAATATATATGTACTTAAATTTATGAAGAAACATGTGTTTTTTCCGGGACTACTTGAACCTCTCTTTTTCTTTACATAATTACAGTCATCTTTCAATAGATCCTGCTAAGTTTTACAAATCTCATAAAATATTTCATACTCTTAACACCGATATCAATATTTAAGTCTAAGTGCCAGGTTTATTGAATAATTATTTACTTTATTTTTATATATATATATATATATATATATATATATATATATATATATATATATATATATATATATGTATATATATATATATAATTTTTTTTAAATATTGTATCACAGGTAGTCGCTAACACTTTCGATATCGATAGTACGCAAGACACAAGTATGTGCGCGGGTGACTGGACGCAGGGAGACACTACTTGGAGTTAGCGCGTCGCCCGTTGCTATGGTTTCGCTTCCCCGTATGTCATACCGCAAAGCACTGTTCATATTTCGTGGCGCAAGCCGCAGCTATACACTATTCTATTCACCGTACATGGTACTGTTACGGTAAATTAATAGAAACTATCCACCATCTCCTTCTTAGCAATGGGTTATTAATTTTATTTTTAGTAAATGTGTAAAAAATATAATAGTTCAAAGGCAAAACGCAGCAAGCGGGCATATGGAGTTCAAACTTCAAATGATACAACGAGTGTGTTCTCCGTCGAGCCTTAACGTGATGAGAGGCACACGAGGTGACGAGATGAGCGTGTTCAGCCGCCATGAGCTACATACATCTAGGGTTGCCAGGTCTTTAAACCGAGAAGCCGAACAGACCATCCAGCTTTGCCAGACATTTTGGTAAAAAGGCCGGACACCCTTAATTATTCAGTCTTAGTATAACACGATAATATATTTTTTAAAGTAAAACAATGCTAACCTTATATCATTTACTACAAAATTTTAAATTAAAAGAATCAGTGTTCTTTATTATTAATCATTCAATATTCATTACAATATTAGTTTCAATAATTGCAATAGGTAGTATGTATTTAAGTACATGAAAAATGTAAAAAAATGGTCAAATATAAAAAGCCTGACAAATGCCGGACAGGCCTGGACACCGTCTAATTTGGCCGGACACGCAAACAAAAAGCCTGACTGTGTCCGCCTTTATCCGGACGCCTGGCAACGCTACATACATCTGTATACAATACAGTATAGCGTAGGTTAGTTCTTCCTACGCGGGCCCCGTGTTCCTACGCGGGCCCCGTCTTTGCCCACGCAAACCCTAACATTTTAAATGAACTCCAAATAGTTCAGAACCTATTCTGTCGTCGAGCTGCGAACGCACCGTGGTACGTTCGTAATGCCGACCTTCATCGGGACTTAGAGCTCCCAACAATTCAACAATTTCTTAAAAAACTCTCTGAGAACTTCTTCAAAGCCTCAGAGTCGCACCCAAACCATTTAATTCGTGAGGCAGCTTCTTATGCAGCCCCACCCCCCTCTCGCTATCGTGTCCGCAGGCCGAGAAACTCTCTCTCGGACCCGCCTAATAAACTTTCAAACGACCTGAACTGTCTCCTGGCGGCTCAGGCCAACTCTAATTAAATAAAATTATTGTAATATCTGACATTAATTTGCCTTCGTAGGCACTCCCTCAGCGGCACTTAGCCGCCTGCGCCCTCTTTTCCCAAAAGAGGGTCGCTCATGATAAGGCACAAGAGAGCTTAATCAGCCGGTTGCCTGTCCCTAAAGGCGGTTTTTAGGGGTATCACTTAGGGTCCCCGGTAGGACAGTGAGTCCCCCATAACCACGATAGACCGGCTATCGTGGTTTGCGTAATGCATTTTCCGCCTCCCTACGTACAGGGTAGCCCTTTAATTGCTTGGGGCGCAAAAAAAAAAAAAAAAGTTAGTTCTGTGTTTGTGTTAGGTTATGATTACAAAAATATTAACAGGTTATAGGTATTATAACATTAGTTTAACTGTGTTATGTTATAATTATGATTACTAATATATAACATTTTATAGGTGTTATAATTATAATATGCGCGTGACATCGTCAATATTAGTACTTTTGTACAATTTTATGGTCACAAAATATGTAAGTGCCTAAGTATTATTGTCCATCACATCACATAATTTTTATGATCCACATCTTGCGTGTAAGCCATTAACTATCCCGAAGGGACTCTTTACTCTCGTTGTGCGAGTCGTATATCGTGTTACGTACCTACCTATATTCATCTTAATAATAATCTGTTCAAAACGAAACGCTTATGCGAGCGCCGGTCGTGGTGTGTGTCAACTGCGTACGTAAAATAATCATTACATTTTGTCCACGAAACTGGGTATACGATTATCAAGCTCGTAAGCAGTTTCTGAAACCGATTATGTTAAATAATGCTCACCTCTAGGCATGTCTCGTGGTGTCTCGACGAGCGTGTACAGCCGGCATTAGGATTCTCTGTCTACGGTATGAACATATAATTTTTCTTTTCTTAATATTTAAAGGCAAGGGATATATGCTCTTACGGCCTTGTTTGACATATATTTTTAAAGAAAAATCGTTATATTATAATTGCGTCACATTGTAACGGTTTGGGTTTTGACAACAACTTAACCTATCAGATAGTTGATGATAATGGTGTATCTGAGTACCTACAATAACTTAAGATTTGTACCACCATCAAAGCATTTGTTTCATTGTTTCGACAAATAGTCCACTTGTGTAAACATGTAATATTAACATAAAATCAGACTACCGCATCATGGTCGCAGTACAAAAGTGCTTTGTAATCAATATCCATTATTCACCTCAAACAATTACTGATACGATAAAATAGGAGAATAAAAATCAAAGCACAAGAGAGAAAATTCTCCGGTGGTCATCAAGCCCTATTATATTATTGTTATCACCAAATTGCCCAACCAAATAAAAGCTTATCGATTTCTTTGATAAGAAACTCAACTGTTGTACTTTTGCCAATGTAATAAATAATAAATTAACCTTTATAATAATTTGTTAATAAAAACATTCTGACGTGACGTTTAATAAATCAATGAACGCCGACTGCATGCACGAAAATGATTAAATCTACATTGGCTTGGCATACAAAATAGTGATAATTCAATAATAATCATTCAATTTTATTCATAAAAATATGCAATCATTTCTTCAATGTTTTTTATGACGTCACATTAAACTATCGTCCGAAAACCGACTTTACAGGCAACCATTTTTTTTTTATTAAGTTAATGCTTCATATTGTGAAATATGGGGAACATTCTGACGGCAGCCTCGGCCAGTTGATAGTCGATGACGATAATATCTCAAGGCACCGAAGCAGAGAACAGAAAAAAAGAGAAACATCACAGCACTTAACGGTCTCAGCGCAATACTTTTAACATCGCTATCAAGAATATAAAAATAGGATTTAATTTTTAGTGTAGTAATCTATAATTGTAAAAATAAAAATGACAGGTTTCTGCCTTTTATATAGATTATTTATTTATTTGAATCAGCAAGGATCATAGAGTAGTATTACATACATTCAAAATCATTCTAATACGGAAATAATAAATCATTACTAAAATTACTTATTTATTAATAAAATAACATGAACCGATGTTAACGTAACATACACCATACCCGACTTAATGATATATTAAAAAAACCAGCAATAAAACTAACATAATGATTTTATATAATAATTAACAATTAATTTGTTAAAAATACAAACATTATAATAAAGACTCGTTCATAAGTTCATATACTTGGAGTGCCTGTCCGAGGTGCTCAAATGGGTACATGGACACAAACCCAGTGCCTCAAAAAAGCACATTCGGGTTTCAGATTAAGGGTGACAAACGAGCACACAGTCCACTTGATGATAATCAAAATGCATATGCATTTTCAGCCCTGAGGAATACGATTTTATGCCCCGTTACACGAAATAAAGCAAAATAAAGCTGATATTTTACGTTGGTAATCTGCGAGATAGTGGTTCTTCACCAGTGAAGCCGAGTCCTACGCATTTGTCAAAAACCATAGTGCACCGCACCGTGGCTCTCTACCACGTTTACTGCATACATATTTCATATTATTTTAGAACGCTAATTCCTGAATAATTTATTGTCTGTTATATCTGTACGCCAACAGAATGTATCACTACGTTTATTTGTATTTAAGCACGCAGTAATTATGAACCTGTAACTAGAAAAGTATTTTAAATTCTTAGTAATTTCCTTTAATATTTAGTTACTCTTGACATCATTTATTCGTGGTATCAAAAACTGATTAAATTCAAACATAAATGGACTTTTGGCTAGAATTTGACTGTCGGTGAATTGGTACTCCTGTTTCTTCGTTTAATAATGACTTAGCGTCGATTTTGATATTTTATGCTTGTTTTCAACTTGTGAACTATTCGAAACAATGAAATAAGTGATTCGATGGTAATAGAATTATCAGGTTTTTTAATCAGTTTATGGGCTTTTAGATATTATCGTCATCAACTGTCTGATAGGTCAAAACCTTGCAAGAACTTTGTTATAGGAAGCATCTGTATTATGTGAAGAGTTGTATGAACAAAATACAAATTAGAGACTGGATGTTCTAAGACTTTTGCCTGCCATTATTGACGAATCGTAAACTAAACTACAACGACAATCAAAATCAAATGTCAGTTGCTTAAAAATACCCGCTAGAGGCGGTCGCGGTCGAATGTTGATTGTTGTGGTTTAAAAATTTTACGATTTTATTTTAATTTTACTGCTTCTAAAATAATCGTGTATTAAGGATTCATATACATATATTTATTCAGATATAGATTTCATTAATTTTGCAGTATAGAACTAAATATTAGGTGATGTCTACAATAGGTACACCCCGAATGGATCGATATCGGTGACTTTGAGTTTGTTATTTTTTACGTTACGGAAGGGGGTGGTTGAAGATGGAGAAGTCCGCAAGACCGCGGACTGCTCTAAACGAGTGCGTGAAGGTGGTGGTGCGATGCCGGCCGCTTTCACAAAAGGAGAAGAACGAGGGTTACGAGGAGGTGAGATATTTCTTGCTTTGTTGACATCGCTCAAGATGCGCAGAGTTAGTGCGCCGATTGGAATCAATGAATAAATACATAAAGACTTGATTGATCGCTAAACCATGAATTACTTTTGTACGACAACGCGACAAAACAAATATTACTTTTTTTTTACAAAAGACTTGTTATCTCTATAATAATAAATTTATAATGTTTTGATATGGTTTATGTTATTGAAAGACTAAAGTATTAAACTATGAATCACTCATGTGGAAGTACGACTAGAGGTTCCAGAGTTTTGCTCTTTCAAAATATGGAATGATTATTTTTCTATTTGCACTTTACAAATTAAATAAATAAACTATCTCTGGCACCAGTACAAAAGTGTTCACATTGAGTCAGTTAATAATTTGGCTTAACTGGAATATGCTTGTTTGAGAACACATAAGCTTATAGCCTGTCGAAATGGGTGATCATTGAAACACCAAATTTGTGTCCATAAGCTGTTCATAAAATTAAAAATTATTATATATATATATATTTTTTTTATATATATATATATATATATATATATATATATATATATATATAGAATTTCACAAAGCCTTATTCTTGACTAAAATGATATCTGTTATAAGTTTCTATACTTCAGACTTTAGCCATGAGCTACTGATACTTTGTTTATTCTAATCTAAGTCCCTATATGAAAAATGCCATTCTGAGTCTCTGTGAGCCTCTTTGATGTGAAGGTAATATGTTTCAATTTTAAATGATAGCTGTACGTACTTCTCGTTCAAATATAAAGCCCAGGTACTATACTACACTTTGTAATTGTAAATACATCTAGCCTTATCTATCTTAGGTATATTATAAGTATTTAAATGAATGCATTTACAATATGACATGTAGTAGATAAATATGTATTTGCAATAATGATTACATTATTTTAACACAAATAAAAAATTTTTCTGAGTTTCCTCTTCTTTAATACCTTAAACTCTTCTCTCACACCACAAAGTATAGTTTTGTAATTTTACTTAGTTTATTATTTCTTAATACCTAATAAGTAATTTACCATCTAGTCCCACTATAAACATGTAGATATTTAAGATAAAAACTGTTTATAGGTTTTATTTGAAAGAATATTCAAGTTGTCTATAAATGAAAATAAATGTATGTTTTTAGTGTAAGATGTCAATCAATCTGGATAATGAGTCTGTCCACATTTTGCTTTAAACATTTGAACATTTAAACATAAGCTTATAATAAATATCAACATCATCATATCAATATTCCAATGCAGAACAGGTTTCCCGTAGATTGACTTTGGGTGGGGGGGATATTTGCCATAGTTGAATGAATGAATGAATATACTGTATCGTACACCACAAACAAATTTACAAAGAACATAACAGAGAGCAGATTACATGTACAATTTGGCCGCCTTATCGCTACATAGCGATCCCTTCCAGGCAACCAAAATAGTTGCTGGTAGGGAAGTTGGCAACTGCAGTTTCATTAGTATATTTAGTATTAAGTTGCTATCAGAAAGATGCTCTTGTTCATCTGTTGTTTCATCTTCGCTTTGTCAACTCACCTCACGACACCCGCGCCGTCTGGTGGCGGCGCGGCGCAACGCATCCGTAGAGGATTCCTTTTAATTAAATTCAAATAATATTTATTTTTTTTCGTTGATCTTTTTTTTTTGGTGTAGTATCACTGCGACCTGGAAGATCTATTGTGATCGCTGCAATGGCTATAGTTCACGGCTAAGCCCAATGTCTTCAATGAATAGAAGGAGTTGCTTAGCCGTGAGCAATTTCACTTCTTCTGGGCGCGGTACATAATTTCCCAGATGAGTGTTAGGTTGCTTAGCCGTGAAATTGCTCACGACTAAGCAACCTCTGTCTTGGGAAGAACCAGTAAGAAACTCAGCGTGCCTTTTTTTTAAATTAAATTTCAGTATAATATATCGTAAAATTAAATATAAAATCGTTTAGAAACAGCATGGTAGAGATCATGTACTCAAGTCTCTCGTCACTGTATAGTACTCAACACTACCCCAAGTCGTCCCATGTGTGTCACAAGAAGCGACACAGGGATACTGTAAGTATCAATAAATTACGACAATATTGTAATGATTTTCTTTGTTTCCCACCGATTACCGAAATCGCCGCATATAAATAAATAGCATTCTCTACGGGTGTAGTAAAGTAGTATTAAGCTGCTATTTCACGCTAGTATTCTGTGAGAGCGTGGTCCTTCCCCGGTCGAGCCGACCCATTCGTGCTACAACCATAATATAGCTGCAGCGTGGTTCTACCACGTATAAAAATATAATATACATATATAACTAACGGAACTCATGGAAGGTCCACTGAAGGCTCAGAAATAATTATGTGTTTTTTAAAATGTTGGTCTACCACATACTCGGCGGTGACGTGGTTTTTTCTTGATCCATGCGTTTCCGAATTTCGGATTAGCTGTGCGACATAGCTACTCTTGTTATCTTTTTATCGAGATTGTTTCTCCGAAATTCATTAAATTAATCCATCCACAGATTGAAAACGAATAACGCATAGTCAATAGTCGACACCGGTGTTCAAATGCAAAAATAAGCCATCGCATGTTGATCTTACCTGCAATCATTCGCACATATCATAGCATGCTTTGGATCTTGATCCGTGACCCGTAATGTCTTTACCCATTCGCATTTCGCACCCTGTTTAGACTCAGATCATGCACGATGGGCGCGGGACTCATTCGCAAATTATTCTTCATCGTCGCATCCGTCTTGTGATAGGCCATAACAATTGGTATTTATATAGTGTCACTGTAGCATGTTAGCCCCGTGATAAGATGTAGTCTAATGGGAAGATGTAATCTAAATTATAATCTATCTCTTATACTATTCAATTTTAGGACTTTCCACATTTAAATCAATCAATACATAAAATAAATAAGTAACCCACTAATTTTCTTTCGGTTTATAATTTGCAATTGGGTCCCGCCTTCTGCTAAACTTAATGCGGATATTTAACTTAGGCTTTCAGTTGATAATATAGGTAGTCTGATTAAACCAAAGTAGAGTTTCGCTCTTTTAAATTATCGTTTTTGCACTCGAGTTTTTTAAATATTTATTTTATTTTAGACGTTTTAGTGTCCCGGATTTTAATAATTTGTAGTACGAGTTCCGACACAAACATGGCCCATTTTATTTTTTTATTTTTGCTTATATATGTATTTTTGTAATACCCTTTTAATTTCCTTTACTCAATAGGTTTGGTTATTTTTTTTAAATTAACGCGTTACTATTTCGCGGCGAAAATCCACCATTTAGGTTTTTGTTCTCCTGAACCGCCGAGCACGCGGTGATTTAGCTTATGAAATTGCGACTAACAATTTCTGTACTGGATCGAACCCGGGACGCTTGTGTACTCTGGATTTGTACATACAAAAGAAAGTCATATATTAACAGCGATATCCAATAAAGGGTATATACGTTTATACTCGTCTATATACGTTTAGCAATGGGTGTTGACGGATTCTTTTATGGTTTATGGCCTGGTATCTAGACCTTTAGGCCAAGGACGTTGACGGAGTCTCGTGACTAGCGTTACCAGATCCGTAAATAAGTTTTCCTGACAAAATTCCTGATTATTCAACTCAAAAAATATAATAAATAGTATTCACTCTACTCGTTTTTTAAGGTATTCTATACTTTCATTAATTTAATCCTTCTCTTTTACTAAATCCCTGAGAGATTAAAAATTTTCCTGATAGAGGGCCGCAATTTCTGACGTGTCAAGAAAATTCCTGTCATTTGGTAGCCTTACTCGTGACCTACTTTACCGTTTACCTTTAATACATTCCAGGAAACTTTGTATTGCTATGTTGAAAAAAATGGAAACATATATTTTACGATTCCTAATCTAACGTAGTACAATCACGCTACATTGTACTTTGGCTGCAGCACGAATACGTGAAACTTGTGAACAGGAACTGCTTGTGTGGTCAGGTCCGGTCGGGTTCGCTTTGGACTGATGATCTCCAAACTTTAAGGTCTTTCTAACACGCTTTTATAAGCTGCGCGTGTATCGTGTATCTAAGTAACGGAATTTTTCACCAACTCGTAACCGGCCGACTGACTTGAACATTTGCACTCGTATCAAAGACCGATGACAGTACAATAATTTGATAACTTTTTCCTGCAGTATCCTGATCAGGATCTCAAGGATGAAATGAAATAAATAGCTTAGGATCGATGCGTATTGTGAGGATTTTTGTAAAGTCTAATATTCTTAAGTACATGCTAACATAACATGCTTCAGTTACCGATGGGCCGCTATTCTGTATTATAAGTACTATGCTCATTGATATATTTGTATATCAATGACTATGCTATAGTGCTATAACTTTAAAAAAATGACACAGATGGTACATGGCTACGGAGTTTCTTTAGCCGTTCCTTTTCCGGATTTCACCACTAAGGACTAAGATGGAATGCCTTTTTATTATTAAAAACAATCTCCGGTTCTCCACACTCACCATAACGAAACAGCGGCATTATTCTTTTTTTTTTTTTTTTTTTTTTTTTATAGAAGAGGGGGCAAACGAGCATGTGGCTCACCTGATGTTAAGTGACTACCGCCGCCCATGATCAACTGCAACACCAGGGGAATTGCAGACGCGTTGCCGGCCTTTTAGAAAGGAGTAAGCTCTTTTCTTGAAGGTCCCCAGGTCGTATCGGTCCGGAAAAATCGCTGGTGGTAAATTATTCCACAGAGAGGTTGTACGCGGAAGAAAACTCCTTTTGAAACGTACAGTGGTGGACCGCCAAGCATCCAGATGGTGTGGATGGTATCGGGACGTTTGCCGCGTAGTGCGTTCACGAAATTTGGCGGCTGGGATTAATCCGAACAATTCCTCAGAGCACTCTCCATGGTATATGCGAAAGAAAATGCAAAGGGATGCAACATCTCTTCGCAGTGCCAGAGAATCGAGCCGATCGGAAAGCA